AAGCTCCCGAATCGGAAGACGATGCGGCTCAGGTTGATCAAGCACTTTCCGCGGCATTGCAGGTGCTCCAAACCTCATCTGCGGCATGGGCACGGCTTCCCAGCTGGTACTTGTGTCCGAAACACAAGGGCTTCGGCATGAACCGAGCTGAGAAGAAGTCGCTGGACCTGTGGTCTTTGAACCTTTGCTGGAGGATGACTTTGCTTCGTCCATTTCTTTCAGCAACTTTGCTCGATCTTTCGGGCCGAGCGTTTTCCAATAATCCGATGGAATGTCCTTGGGGCGTTTACTGCCTTTGTACGTCTTCACCACTCGAAGACCATCCCAATGGTAACCTTCAGGAATAGGGACCCCGGCCGGCGTAGTGTCGGGCTTGTAGTCCTCGGCTTTGTCAGCTGCCGTGACTTCAATTTCGGGTTCCACACCCCCCTGTTCAAGTACACCTTCTGGAGCTTCGGATGGTGTGTACTCTGCGAGGTCAGCATCCGCAAGTGGAATCGGATTGGGAGACTCGATAAGGTTGAGCTTTGGGTCATCAGGAATAGCTTCCTTACGATCTTGTTTGACACGCAATGGAAAACTAAAACCGCCTGGAAGGAGCTCAATTTTCTTTGTCCTCTGGATCGTCAAACTGTTGTGTTCAACATGGTAGTCTAGTGCTTCCAACTTTGCAACTAGATACTCCCCACGCCATTTGTGCCCTGGCTGCACATGGTAACCAAGAAACACGCCTTCCACTGATGTTGGTGACAGCTTTCCTGCTGTATTGTCGGCTCGATTGGGGTTATTCCAGAACAGGACCTTTGCACCAAACGGAATGGCCATACCTTCAAACATTTCTCCAAAGCGCAGTTCCCATGGGCTTGGAGATGAGTCCAGCTGATCACTCGTGTTTGTTGCCATTGCAAAATGTTGAATGGCGAGTGGCCAGTACTGGAGGGGCATTCCGGACTGAACAAGATTGGTGCGTGCTCCCTCAAGCATGTTCCTAACTTCCCTTTCGATGAAGCTCTTGGAGGAGTCCACGTACTCAACGGAGGTTTGGTGGCGATACCCTAACTCCTTGATACCAGCTATCAGCTCACGGGAATTGTCAGTGTAAATGACCTCTACTGCATCATCCGGGGCAACAAAATGCTGAAGAGCAATCACTACCTCATCCGAACTCTTTGACTGGGATGGGTGAATACTCCGGAACTTTGTATGCAGGTCTTTCACAACCAAAGCTACCCGTTCGCCACGACTCCCTTCTTCGATGTTCGCGCGCACGACGACGTGGTCGGCGATCAGATGATCGCCGAAAGCCTTAGTCTGAATGCGGCTTTCACCCCCTTTCTTTCGTGCCTGTGGTGCAAGCATCCTCGCTCGCTGACACACTTTGCAGAATGGGTTCTTGGGGAAGTGGTGATACTGGTGTTTTGCGGACTGCGCTTCACGCATCAAGTCTCCAACTTTTCTTGATCGCACCAAACGGCTCTCTTCGTCGTCTGGCACTTCCTCGTCAAAGCCCTCATCCTCTTTCTTATCCGATGGGCTCGAGATTGCTCCCGGCATAGCAAACAGCTTCTTCAGAGGCTTATCCTTCTTGAACTTGCCCTTTCCAAAGACTTTGCACTCGGAGTCGAGGACTGGGACATGACCATCAACACGAAGTTGAACGATTTTCTCATCTGGTCGCACAAGGATCGGTGTACCGTTTGCTGGCCACACGAAACTATACCCTTGGTCAAGGCATTTGATGCCAACTGAGAGCACAGCCGGGCATTCATCCAGCAAATACGGCGTGCAAGGCTCCAGCAGCTGCTTCATCTTGACATCAGCTACCTCGCTGGCTTCGGTCGACCCGTTTGCAGTAATCAGACTGATGGTGTGAGGAGCCCGTCTTGGGTTCTCCGCACCAGCAGCATCCATAACTTTTCTGCTGAGGAGGTCTTGCTCACTCCCGGAATCGACGAGCCATGAGAACCTGCCTTCCCTTGGTGCTGGACCAGCAACTATTGTCGGGATAGTAGTAGGACATGTTTTCAACTTGATCAAGCTTCGACACTCACGACAAGTAAGCGACGATTCGATGCACAGGAAACGACATGAGGGCACTGTTGCGCTATCAAAGCTTCGAACAACTTCAGCCAACTGCCTAGCTTTTACTTTGGCCATGTGGGCTGCCTTTGGGTCGCTCTTGGGCACGCGATCGCTCGTGGCAAAATGCACACTGTACTTGCGCTCACGCTTGACCATCTTGCAATGTTCCCCGCGAGCAGGGATGGTGCGAATTTCAGGTTTCATAACGAATGTAGTTCTTCGGACAGACGACTTAGACCTCTTTCTCGCTGGAGGAAGACAGGACTTCTTGAGACATGACCGTCCGGGCACACCAGTCGCAAGACATGCAAACCGATTGCTCAGGCAAATGGCAGCCTTCTTGGTATCTCCTTTTGCCTTTGGCTTTGGGGAGTCCTTTCTTGGCTTCGTTTTCGGAGCCGGCGCTGCCTTTTCTCCATGTTTGAAAAAGCACTTGTCTCCTCTTCTGCATGTACCTTGTTGATCGTACCTGCATGGGGTCTTCGCCATCTCTTCCTTAGTCATCCGCTTCTTCTCCTTGTCTGTGCTTTTGTCCCTCGACTCATTCCGCTCCCGGGATGGTTGGCGCTTCTTGGAAGGATCACGCTTGGGCTTTTCATGCTTGAACTTGCAATCTTTCCCTTTTGCACACTTTCCCTCCAAAAAGGCCCAACAAATACCCTTCTCCCGAGAAGCGGATCGTCCGCGCGATGGCGAACGCTTTCGCCGAGGATCAACAGTAGGGGCTGCGTTCTTCTCGCGTCGATCACCTGGCTTGAGCCGATTTCGCTCCGCGATACGTGATCGATTCTCACGAAGGCGTTCCCGATCGATCAGATCCTTGATGCTTTGCAGTAGGAACTTGTAGGACCGATGGTGGTCACCTTCTTTTGCACGATCGAAGAGATCAATGTCGTACCTCAGGATTGTGCTAGTGCGGATCTGCCTTAAAAGGATGTCTCGGAGCCCGTTTTCATGCGGTGGTTCGGGCATACCAGCGATGGTAGCGTCCCAGCGGTTGATGAAACGCTTCAAGTCCGCTACCGTATCGCCTACCTTTACCACATTGAGGAGATCTTCAACCCTATAGAGACTACCCGCTTCTTCCGAGGTCTTGAAATAGTCATCGAACATGAGAAGAATCATCCTACCTCGAACCTGGATGCCTAGCTTTGCCTTCTCTTCTTTGTAATTGATGATTCGGTTTGCTAGATCACCCTTTGCACTTCTGGTCAGCGCAGCTGCCAACTTGGTATCCAACGTTGTGAACTTCCCAGGGTTAGACAACCGCTCTTCCAGAACTTTTCTCTCATCAACAGTGTTGTAAACCTCCATTAACCAGTCCCAGGCGGCATCTGGTTTGTCAGAACATGACTTGATTTCGTCCCTCACATGATGTTTCCACTGCCGATAGGTTTCAGGGGTTGGCATGTCATTCAACTTGATGTGATCTGCCTCCTTTACCTTTGGCTTCTCATCTGACTCTCTTTGAGTGAGTGACTTGACCAATTCGATCACCTGCTCAGAGGTGATGGCTCCTGATGACGCTGGCTTATGGGGTTCGCGAATTGAAGGTGCAGGGCTATGGAACATATTTGTCGGTGTTTTGCCCCCATCCGCTGCTGTGCCTCCGTAAACTGGAAGCACGGGCTTGATAGGAGCAGCTGCCCCTGGTGGGGCATCACCGATGATGGTGGCCGTCGGCGCTTTGGGTGCGAACAGTCCACTCAAACGTGCAGTAGCCTCTGCTGCAATGGTCTCCAGAGGATTTTTCCTCTTAGTGTCATCATGCCTAGGGGTAGACACTGGTGTATTCATGACACTTGTTGGATGGTACTCTAGCTCGGGTCCAGCATGCATTTTGGCTTTAAGGTCATCGAGCATTTGCTGCAGGCTATAGTTTTCATTTTCTGCGTCGCGTAGCTCACGTCGAAGCTGAGTTTCCCGCTCATCGAACTCTGCACGAAGCGTTGCCACACCTTGCTCGGCACCGCTGGTGATGGCAGTGACAGTTTGCTGACAATCGTGCGTGAGCTGGATGCGCAAGGAGTCCAGTTCTGCTTTTCTGGCTTCAGCCTCAATGGACCTTTCACTCTCTAGCTTTAGGATCCGCGCTTTTGCAGCGCTAAGTTCCCCTTGCACTTGGTTGTAGCTAGATTGAGCTTGCTGCCTTATCGAACTGAGTTCCTCATGATGCTTGCTCGCTACTTCATCGATTGCTTGACGAAACTTGGTTTTTACCATTTCCAACCATTGTCCCATTATCTCTTTGTGCCTTCTCTCTGCCTCAGCAATGATAGCATCTTCATTTCCGTTGTACACTTGTTGGATGTTTTGCTGCACAAACTGAAAGTAAGCTGTGACAGGAGCTGAACCCATGGGGTCATCTAGATCCACCGTGGGCTCAGTCGTGAGACCGGCTGGGACTGCTACCGATGATGTACCGTTCCCAGGAATAGCAAGAGCGTCCATGGCTGTGGTTAGAGCACTACGGCTGATAACCTATAGAAACAGCCGTTAAGCTGCAACTCCTGTTTTGGGCCGCGAGCTGCAAAGTAAAGGTGACATGACATCCTACTATGTGCAAGGTACAGAATGTACATATTACATGGAGTGAAAATACAAGGACCGGTCGGCCGAGACACACACCGTCCTTGGCGCCTTCCGACGCGCCGGGGAGTCGGCCGCACTCGGCCGGGCGGGGAGTCATTCAGATCATTCAGATTGAGAAATGATTCCATGACCTTCTGCTTTGGCTGCGCGTTCACGAACGGACATGGAACGATGTCAACCAGGGAAGATCTAAAAAGGTGTCACCAGCGCAATGGTGCGCCAAAACCACTACACAATCTGATCGTGGCTTAAGCTCCAGCACCTGCTGCAAAGCGCGGTTGGACCGTCACCCCTCTGCCCAGCACCGGCTGTTTCCACCCAGCTGCCATGCTCTCGAAGCTCCATGCTGCCAGCCTGTCGGAAGATGGGAAGGAATCGCAGAAGGGGGGCCAAGCTTCGCCACTTGCAACCCAAGTCGTGGAGAAGACCTAGCACCCAGCAGCGCATGTGGAGCGATTCGACCGGTAGTGAGTTGTGGAGATGAAAAAACACAGTACACCAGATTTCTGCTCATTTCAGGATCCTGGCTGCCTGCCACGTCCTGTATTTGTGGAAGGGCGTTCGAGCTCATCAAAAACATACGGTCAACTAACAACCTGCCGTCCCCGACTCATTCTGTACGCAAACACTGTACCCCACTATGGATGCCGCGACGGAGAACTCGAGGATGAAAGCGCCCTCGCTTTCATCACACCTCCGTTCCACCTCGCCACCCTCCTCCGGTCCGCCAGCTCCTGCGGAAGTCGAAGAGGGCTAAGGTGGGCTCGGTGGCCACCGGCAACTCGCTCGAGGGGTTCAGGGCGCCATCCTGGTCGAAGTCTAAGAGTCGAAACCTCGGGCGAAGCGGCGGGCGGCGGCGAAGCCGCTGGCTGGCACAGGCTGCTGAGCTCGGAGAAGCGAGCTCGGCCATCGTCGCGTGGAAGGCGATGAGGGTTGAGGTGAGGTCGTGAATGAATTCGGAAGAGGCGCTCAGGGACGCAAGCATCTTTGGGAAGATTGAGTTTTGAGAGGGGCTGCAGTGACAAACAGTGCCCCTCAAAGAGTTGGATTCTGAAGATCAACACCCTTATTTAAGGAATCAATAACCACAATGCGTGTGCTCTGTGCGTGCACGTGTGCATCGGAGATTGGAAATTAAGTTCACTGCAAGTTTCACCCGGATTGCCGGCAATTCAATCAAGGATTTGTTGGGAATGCTTTAACTTGGATGCTGACTCGTGAGCCTCCGGCAACTCTCTCCTCATCTCTCCTCCACAACTTGCTGGAATCGAACCTCTTGAAAATTCTTGAGACTAAATCATCTTCCCCCCTCAATGTTCAAGAGTTTAGCTTGGGGCGGCGGCGCGTGCCGATGTCAGGGATCGCCCCAGCTCAACCGCCTTGAACCGCCCAAAGCACAAGGCCAGCGCATCGTCCGCCCCAATGAAGAGATCCTGCATGAAGAGCGCAAACTCCTGGCACGTCGTCAATCCGAGCCGCGGACGTTGGCCGCTGTCCGACGGAATTCCGCAGGTCGGAGCCACCAAACCCGGTCCTGTGGGTTGGGAAACGCTTTGAAGGATCAGCTCTTTGATAGTGCAGGCTCTTGGTCAACTAAACCCCGCCTGGAAGAAAAGTTGTTTCCAATTCAAACACAATATTGGCAATCAAGAAACTACATTGTGGTTCGGTGCCAGTAGGGGCGTGGGGCGTGGGCCTTCGATCGCGTCTTGTCCAGCCCCCGGTACACGAACCCGCACATGATTCCATTCGCAGTTGTCTCATTGAACGAGCACATGCAAAGAGCACTCAGGAGATGTTCAGCCTTCCTCTTGGTAGCGGTGCAAAGTTGACCCTCAAACCACCTAGCCATTGTCAAATCCATCTATCCCTTGACACTGAAACCTACCCAACACACCACACCAGTGCACAATCAAATTCTATCAATCCACTCCAGTACCATCAACAGTCTTCAAACAAATCGAATCTGTCCCATCCCCTCAGATCCTCCAACACCATCGAAACCCACCCAAACTAGCAGGCATCAACCACTCACCCCCAACATTAAAACCCACTCCGTCGACCACATGTCGCACCTCCTCTGCCAGGCGCCCGTCCCCATCGCTGTCGGCCGCCAGCGCGGCGGCGGCCGCCGCGCGCGGGAAGCGCGAGGCCAGTAGCCGCCGCAGCACCACCACGGTGGGAGGCCTCAGCCGGAGAAGGCCGACGAAAGCAGGCGCAGCGATTGGCGAGGGATGGGCTGACAGCGAAAAGGCAGGTGTTCCGTTTTCTGGGACGTGGAAGTAAACAGCCCGGGCGACAGATCCAGGGGGTCGACTGGTCTGTTTGGGGTGGGTTCGCTGCGGCGTTTTGGGTTTGCGAGGGGTGGTCAGAAACAGCCAAGAAGAAGCAGGCGGGAAACTTTACAGCTTACAGTAAGTTGAGCAACCCTGGCATGGGGCACCAGTGGGTTGGTCAAGCCAACCCAAGAAGCATGGAAAGTGAGTTGCAATAATTTAGAGACCAAGTTTACATGTATGCCCACACACTGCGAAAGGGCTATGAGTACTGGAGTGTTTGAATTGCGTTGTAATCGCTATAATCCGGAACCTCCGAAGTCCACTGCTTAGCCATGTGCAGGCTAGCATGGTTGTGACGACATCGTCGTGGGCATAGTCGCGCGTTCTCTAGATGGTCCTACAAGGACCAAAACATGAAACATGAGAGCCTCCAAGTTCTGAACAGATCTCGAAAGAGCGGTTCTGGGCTTAGCCGCTTGCCATTCTTTCGCTGGGCATAGTCATCCAAACACGCTATGCCCCCCTGCACTTGCATCATGTCATCTCTCTTACTGTGCATCAGTAAATTCCATTACCGCTTGCGCTTGTGATAGCGGTTTGCACACGAGGCGCCAACCATCCTGAGAGTACAACTAAGATCAACTAAGCCTGTCAGACGCAGAACTAGCGCCAGTGAAGGGTTCCGGCCATTCCAGCTGCCCTAAGTTTCAGTCGTAAGTCAATGCGGAACGTCAAGTGAAGCTCTCAATCTGGTGGTTTCTGCGCAACCTTGGATGAAAGAAAGCTGAATGAACGAGCGCAACCTTGCAAGGACGGGTTTGTAAGCTCCAGGCACATCCTGTTAGTGTTATCGTGATCACCTGCAGCGTGCTGCGATGACACTTGAGCTGGTCTTGAGCCCTTGCCAAATGTCTGGCAAGGCAAGTCCAATCCAAGCTTCACCAGGAAGGCCAAGTTTGGGATCCAACATGCTTGTTGGAGACGGGGTCGGTCTTCTCCCGCTAGAAGCTTCAAGGCTGTTGGGCTGCTCTCGCCGACTTTTGGACCACGGATCTTGATGCTTTTCACCTCGACTCTTTCAATCTTTCTTGTGCCTTTGCCTTGAACTTCCTGTCGTGAAAAGGCACGGGTTTTGGGATCCGCCCCAAGTCGCTGCACTGCTTCGGCCAGTGGTTCCAAGTCTGCAGTCGGACATTCCCAGGCTTCGTTCTGTCAATGCTTCTGGGTAGCTTCGCGCAAAGTCTCCACCCTGAGATACGCATGCGGGTGTCCACAGAGTGTGCGCCAGGAGTGTGTGCCAGGTAAGTGCGAAGTCGCTGCGACGCTGCGACGCTGCGAAGGTCCGGCTCGCGTCTTTGTGTCTTCGCCCGCAGGCTGCGACGCTGCGACAAATTTACGCAATTAAATGTTTCTCTTACCTTGCCTCCTTTGGGGAGGTGTGAGGTGTGTGTGTGTGTGTGTGTACGCCTTGGAATCATAGGTTTTACTTTGGTTTTTGACAGGTTTTGAAGGCCTGCAGGGAATCTCATAATTCTGCAGCCAACGAAGATGGCTATGACATTCTGTGATGTCGCTGAAAACGTCCAGCGACGTACCTGCTGTGATCGCCACTTATTTCCTTCTGGGCCTCTTTGCCACTAGAACAAGTCGCTGGCCTTTGCATCGGTTCTCCATCGACAGATGTGTTTTGATGTCGCGACTTTGATTTCAAATTGGTGCCTTTGAGACCTCCTGAACTTGAACTTGCAGGTTTGATGGTTGGAGCCCTCTGCACTTCACTACTTATATAGGTGTTTTAACTTGCCAGAAAATTTTGTCAGGGCTTGGAGCGATCAGATCGTACGTACGCATTTCCCGAGCTAGTGTGTAACTATCGTCAATAAAACAATACATGCACTCAAGGCAGCAAGTCAGCACACCACGCAGTGGAAAGCTGCAATGCGTTGCGCAATGCGTGGGTAGGCAGCACGGATCGCCATGTGAGCACAGGATCGGAGGAGTCGGAGGAAACAGCTGGCCGCCTCATATTTAGACCTAGCCTAGAGTCTATACGTGCGGACCTATGCGTTGGCCCCACACACATCTGAGGTCCCCACTCGATGAGGATCCTCAGCTGGCTCTCTTGCCTCAAAACGATGGAAAATCCATCTTGCACATGGTCACTTGCATCTGTTCTTCTCCCCTTCTACACCTCTACCAGTTCTTCAACTTGTTTCCTTCCTGCCTTCCTCACTTCCTGAACCCTCTGGACCTCTTCCTCCGCCCTGTCTGAGCCCATCGGCGCCACGAAATCGCCAAGCTGCAGCTCCCCGGTCTGGCACACATCGAGGTCATAGAAAACCTGCGATCACATGCCCCCTGCGGCCTCGACAGTCTGGGGTGGTCAATGAGGATCACCATAACCACCCCCCACACACACTTTGCACCCTCGGGGGATTGATGTGTGTTCGGAAGATTGAGTCCTATATCTTTACCAAAGGGCCAAGGAGAATCCAACGACTTACATATGCCAGAACATGCCAAGCCCAACCTGAAGCCCACGTCCCAAACCCTGGAAGCCAAACCACCACCCACCCCATGACCCGCCCTGGGCACCGCCCCGGCCGCTCAGGGGCGCCTTGGCCAATGCACCGCCGCCCAGGGCCAAGCGCTGTGTGGCCCAGGCCCGTAGCTCCTCGGTGGAGGCGACCAAAACACGATCCATGCTCGGCCGCTCGGAAAGGCCATCGGCTGTGGTGAATCATAAAAACAAACCGTCACCGACTTGCCGAAGGTTTTTTTTACAACAGGAGTATCAATGCTCCAATACCAGCTAGCAGGTCACCTTCGTGGGCGTCGATCCCCCGACGCTTCTTCGCCCCACTCCGCCGCACCAGGTCCTGAAAGTCCACCAGGCCGTTGTGCGAGGTGTCCATCAAGGGCGTGAGGGCGTCCTCCGAGCGAGGCAACGCTAACATTCCAAAACGAAAGCAGCCTATCTTCAATAGTCATCATCTTTGCTCATCTTTTGACAAGTGTTACAGGTAATGGGACACACCCTATCTATCCAGTCATCCAGTCAGCAAAAGTTTTAGAAGCTCCAGCTCGCTCTCTCTCTCTCTCTCTCTCTCGCTCTCTCGCTCGCCCTGTGCGTCTAGCTGTCTAGCATAGCTCTACGGACGTCTGCTCTGAGTGTTGAAATGCGAGGGTGAGGAAGACTGCTCGCTCTGCTTTGCTGCCCATCTCGGTCTGGGGCAGGGTTCCCGGGCACCTTCGCACCAGTACACGTACACGCACGGACGATGGATTTTGCAGCTCAGCGCACTCAACTCGTCCGCAGTCTCCCCACCTCCTGAAGCTCCACTCGCGCCAAATGCCGCAGCAGCGCCAGGTCCAGCGTGCCTTGCGCCGTCAGCAACGCCAGCTGCGCCGGCCGCAGGGCCTCAGACTGCGCCAACGCCACCTGCTACGAAAGCAGTTTTTAGCTACGGGTGCCTTGGGCCTCGCCACGTTCCACTGGTGGCTGATTTGTTGGGTGTAGATCATCGCGACAAATTCGGCTACCATTGGATGTCAAGTTCACTACTTGCACCGAAGCGCTGGGGCGGTGTTTGACTTGTCCAGGTCACGCCAGCTTGCTGGCTGCGTGTTTGTCATTGTTGTCCTAAAGACAGCTGTGGTGATGTGATTTTTGGGTGAAGGGCACCAAAGTTGACCAACGCGCATTGGTTGGGGGCCTCACCCTATTATTGTAGAAGTCCACATTCGAGCCCATGTTTCTTCCTTCGAAGCGGCCCCTCTGCGGGAGACATCCAGGGCAATGAAGAGATTCTCAACATTGCTGGCGTTGCTCACTGCCAGGTATCCACCTCATGGCGCCAAGTGTGCCCCCGCCGCGCATTTGATGTTTGAGAACTTGAGAGAGGAGGGGGTGAACGAAAGGTAGCAGGCAATCACAAGTAACCCTGGTAGAAGTCCATGACGGCGTGAACCGGTGCAACCTGCCACCATGTGCTTTGCTGAGGGGTGGATTGGGCCACATTGGACTACTGGGATATGTTGGACATTGGGCAAATTTCTACAGGGTGCCAACTTGATTCTGCAGGCAGGGCTCTTTTAATGCTAGTGAGGAGTTCTTCCAACAAGTCGCATAAAAGAGTAAACGTTTGCAGGCAATGATCACGATGATCAATGTTGGTGGCCATCTACTGGGTACATGGTTGAGTCCGTACCATCCCTGCCTGGGTTCGACCAGCCTTTCAGGCACCATGACCGACAAGGGTCCTGAGTGACTCGGAGATTCTGATAAGGCCAGAGAACCTGTCTTCATCTCTTCTCTCTCCATAGCTGGGTCAAGCCCTCCAACCCTAAAATTGAAAAACAACTAGACGACGAGTGGCCCGAAAGCATTTTTCATCACGTAGGAAGTCAGAGTGTGAGTTATCTGTCAAGTGTTCAGTGTGAAGTGTTTAAGTCGAGCGAGTTGAGGTAGTGTGAGGGTCTCTGTGTGTGTGTATCTATGTCCGTGTGTATATGAGTCTGTGTATGTGTGTGTGTTCGTGTAAGTTGAGGCAGTGCGTGGGTGTCTGTGTGTGATGCGGCCTCCCAAACCCCCCACCGGCGGCCAAGCGGTGACAGCCCAGCTCATCGTCATGAGCACTTGAGCTGCTGGTAAGGGGAGAAGCTCACTGAAAAAAACGAGCCGGAATGAAGACAGAAAAGTGCCGAGGCAGGTACGCAACAAGTGTGTCAAAGCAGTGACCTGTCCGAGGAGATGCGTCCAGCGATATACGATCAGAGGTCACGTTTCCTTCACTCCAGGACACTAGCTTTTCTAGGATGTAGTTAACCAACCACTATGCTTGTCATGGACTAAATCACTGTCTCAAAGAAAAACGCGACAAAGTATCATCAGGTGACACACAGCAAGCACCGCAGATGTTTAGCGTAGTTCTCCTCTTCCAGCTCCACAGATTGCTCCGCGTACTGAAGTTCTACTACCAAGTCGCCAGTTCTCATCTTCCAACTCCCCAGATACTCCGCGTACTCAAGTTGTACTACCAAGTCGCCAGTTCTCATCTTCCAGCTCCCCGGATACTCCGCGTACTACAGTTGTACTACCAAGTCGCCAGTTCTCATCTTCCAGCTCCCCAGCTACTCCGCGTACTACAGTTGTACTACAAAGTCACCAGTTCTCATCTTCCAACTTGCCAGATACTCCGCGTACTAAAGTTGCACTACCAAGTCGCTAGCTCTCATCTTCCAGCTCCCCAGATACTCCGCGTGCTGAAGTTGTACTACCAAGTCGCCAGTTCTCATCTTCCAGCTCCCCGGCTAGTCCGCGTACTAAAGTTGTACTACCAAGTCGCCAGTTCTCATCTTCCAGCTCCCCAGCTACTCCGCGTACTAAAGTTGTACTACAAAGTCGCCAGTTCTCAGCTTCCAGCTCCACAGATTGCTCTGCGTACTAAAGTTGTACTAGAAAGTCGCCAGTTCTCAGCTTCCAGCTCTCCAGCTGCTCCGCGTACAAAAGTTGTACTACAAAGTCGCCAGTCCTCAGCTTCCAGCTCCACAGATTGCTCCGCGTACTAAAGATGTACTACCACCAAGTCGCCAGTTCTCATCTTCCAGCTCCCCAGATACTCCGCGTACTCAAGTTGCACTACAAAGTCGCCAGTTCTCATCTTCCAGCTCCCCAGACTAAAGTTCTGCTACAAAGTCACCAGTTCTCATCTTCCAGCTCGCCAGATACTCCGCGTACTAAAGTTAGACTACACCGGCCCGCAGAAGTCAAAGCAATTTCAGAAACCACGCCAGTTCCACATGAGACGCCACGCATTCAGGAAGTCAAACAAGTCAATGCAAAAACATGTAGATCTCCGCAGAGGGTTGCGCGCGCACAGACCCAATCGCACTCTCGCCTGCATTTCGCGCACTCGACACGCACGATCTCCGGAGAGGGTTGCGCGCGCACAGACTCAATCGCACTCTCGCCTGCATTTCGCGCACTCGACACGCACGATCTCGGCAGAGGGTTGCGTGGGCACCGGACAAATCGCGCTCTCGCCTGCATTTCGCGCACTCGACACGCACGATCTCCGCAGAGGGTTGCGCGGTAATTTCACAAATCGCGCTCTCGCCTGCATTTCGCGCACTCGACACGCACGATCTCCGCAGAGGGCTGTGCGGGCATGGGACAAATCGCACTCTCGCCTGCATTTGGCGCACTCGACGCGCACGATCTCCGCAGAGGGTTGCGCGCGGACCGGACAAATCGCACTCTCGCCTGCATTTCGCGCACTCGACACGCACGATCTCCGCAGAGGGTTGCATTTTCGGTTGACGCTGTTCGTCTCACCCTCCGCCTTTAAGAGAGAATTTATAAAGTGGGGAAATGTTTTTTCATTGGGACATCTCCCGTGGTAGTTTTCCATACTCACACTTGCCTACTCATTGCATGCTTGCATACTCATTGCATGCTTGCATATCCATCACTTGCATACTTACACTTGCATACTTTGCACTTGGATGCTTTCGCTCTTCCACTTACACTGGGGTACGTATAGCGTTCATGTTGTAGTGCAAGTGTGGTGGAAGTGTCAGTGTGTAAGTGTAAGTGTCGAAGTGTCAGTGTTCAAGGGATTTTCCGGAAGAACCCTTCGCAATGCTTTCGGGAATAAACATAGCTCCTCAGTGACATGTTTTGGATTTCCCATGCAAAATGTTCAAAAATATCCCGGCGAGAGACCCCAAACTGCGTGTGTGTGAGAGTGAGTGAGTGAGTGAGTGAGTGCGTGCGTGCGTGCGTGCGTGCGTGAGTGAGTGAGTGAGTGAGTGAGTGAGTGCGTGCGTGAGTGAGTGAGTGAGTGAGTAAGTGAGTGAGTGGGTGGGTGGGTGAGTGAGTGAGTGAGTGAGTGACTGAGTGAGTGAGTGAGTGCGTGGGTGAGTGAGTGCGTGGGTGAGTGAGTGAGTGCGTGAGTGC